CTAGATTTTTTAAAATGTACATTGATATTTTGTCTGCATGAGAGGCTGTTGGATCTCCTGAAACTAGAATTACAGACACAAGTTAGCTGTCATATGGGTGCTGGGAACTGAAATCAGGTCCTCCAGAAGAGCAACCAATATTCTTAACAGCCAAGCCATCTCTCTAGCCTCTGATTAGGTTTTGAACAGTATCATATTTGTTTGGATATAAGATAGTCTTAATGTCACACTGTGATGCTTTAACATCTTTTCATACATATAAAATATTTTTAGAAGAGAGAAAAACCATATTTTAGCCTAGAGATAACTTTCAAGGTTATCAAAATGTCAAGAAAAGAGAGAAGAGGGAGAGGAGCAGGGAGGTCATTCCTTCATGTGTATGGCTGCCAGGATCAGAAATATTTTGCTGAACACTGGCCACAGTTTGAGTGTTGACTGAGGTTTCTGTCCCACCTAATCCTGCAGTCTTTCATCCCAAAGAAACACACAGAGTTCTACATTAATTATAAACTGATTGGCCTAGTATCTCAGGCTTCTTAGTAACTCTTATAACTTATATTAGTCCATAATTCTTGTCTGTGTTAGCCACATGGTTTGGTACCCTTTTCTGCAAGGCAGTCACATCTTGCTATCTTACTTCCTTTGCACTGCAGACTGAACTTTCCTCTCCCAGAATTCTTGTTGTCCTGCCTCTACCTCCTGCCTGGTTGCCTGCCTATACTTCCTGCCTGGTTACTGGCCAATCAGCATTTTACTAAAAATAATATAAGACCATTTTCCCACAAAATATTTTTAGAAGAGAGGAAAAACAATATTTTAGCCTAAAGATAACTTTCGAGGCTATCAAAATGTCAAGAAAAGAAAGAAGAGGAAGGGGTGCAGGGAGACCATTCCTTCATGTGTATGGCTGCCAGGATCAGAAATATTTTGTTGAACACTGGCCACCATTTGAGGAGCAATTATTTTCTCTTAAGATCTAAGTTCTAAATGGGGCTTGGGTTCTTAGGCAAGAACTAAAATATCACGTAACAATTAAACGCTTCTTCATGCAAGGCTAGCAGTAGAAGTTAGGACATTTTCAGTTCTTTGAAAAAATCCCTTATGTTCCATTAAGAACAGTGGTTTTCAATATTTCTAATGTTAGGACACTTTAATACAGTTCCTCTTGTTCTTGTTGTGGTGACCTCCAACCATAAAGTTATTTTTTTATTTATTTATTATGTATACAATATTCTGTCTGCGTGTATGCCTGCAGGCCAGAAAAGGGCACCAGACCCCATTACAGATGGTTGTGAGCCACCATGTGGTTGCTGGGAATTGAACTCAGGACCTTTGGAAGAGCAGGCAATGCTCTTAACCTCTGAGCCACCTCTCCAGCCCCCATAAAGTTATTTTCATTGCTTCTTCATAACTGTAATTTTGCTAGTGTTATGAATAATAATGTAAATACCTGACATGGAAGATGGTCTTAGGCAACCCCTGTAAAAGAGTCCTTTGACACAGAGGGGTCATGACCCATAGGCTGAGAAGTACTGGTTTAGATTCTAAGTATAGAACTCTGCACTTCATGCAGAAAGAATTTCCCCATAGTCACAACACATGTGGGTCTCTCACTGTCCCTTGTCCCTTCTTCCATAAATGACCACCTCAGAGCTCACAAACACAGGATCACCTGTCCACTATCCCAAGATGCAAGAGAGTGGTCATAGCAGTCTCGTCCTGTGGGATGAGACACATAGGTTAAGAACTGCTGGTCTAGATGGACACATCTAAATTTATGTTTATCAGTTGAGCCCAAATTACCAAAGGAGATAAAAAATACTTAGGTTTCTCTGCAGAAACTTACTGATTTCACACTTAGTTAAATGGAGATAAAGCATTTATTAATAGCCCCATAAAAGATATAAAGATAGTAATTGCCATGGAGTCTGCCCTGGAGAAATTTCTGGATGTAAGAACTTCAATTAAGAATCTAGGGGCTGGAGAGATGGCTCAGAGGTTAAGAGCATTGCCTGCTCTTCCAAAGGTCCTGAGTTCAATTCCCAGCAACCACATGGTGGCTCACAACCATCTGTAGAGGGGTCTGGTGCCCTCTTCTGGCCTGCAGGCATACACACAGACAGAATATTGTGTACATAGTAAATAAATAAATATTAAAAAAAGAATCTAAAACATACATATTTATAACCTACATAAAAAAGCAAGCAAACAAACAAGGAGGGGGCTGGCGAGAGGGCTCAGCAGATGAATGTGCTTGCTGCCATGCCCAGAAACCTGAGTTTGATCCTAGGATCCACATGGTGGAAGGTGAGAACTACTTCTGTCAACTTGTCCTCTGTCTGAGCTTCAAATGCACAGTGGCTTGTGTGCCCACAAGCTGACAGTCACCTACACACACAACTAAAGTGAATTTAGGATGCTGTATCAGAGTTCTTTCAGTGTCATCTCAAAAAAAATGTATAGCATCTTATATAGAATTAAAAGATATACTATATTGATTTAGCATTTACTCCACTGCAATTCCAGAACTTGGGTAGGACAGCTAGGAGTATTGGAGTTCCTAGTTATCCTGTCTTTGCGTCAAACTCAAGGTCTACATAGTTGGAGGCCAGCCTGGTCTACATGAACCCCCCCCAAATACAAATCCACCTAACAAACAGCAAATCAGAAGCTAAAATAAAACAAATTCTCTTTATCCAGGGGCAATTGTGGTTTAATGTGTTGCGTATAATTTCACCTTTGTTTTCCAGTGGTGAAACAACATTCATCCATTAGTTTGTGCCAGACATCAGGGTCAAGTGTTCTGATCACAATTGCTAATAGCTAGGATCCTGCCCTCAGGACTGTAGTAAGCAAACATAACATACAACTTGGGCTATGGAAATTCTCCTCAGACTGTCGATCTATAGTGTGTCTGGACTAGAATATCCCAGGGGACTGGATAGACCATTTTTATACTCTTGGCTTTTGAATACCATTTATTTTTTTTGCAACTTCTTGCCATTTTTATTTTTCCTGTTTTAATTTTGCAGATGAAAGAAACTCTCAGAGATGTATGTTTCATGAGGTCAAACAACATCAGAAAAGCAAAGGAAATATTCCAGTCGATGGCTGTAGGACACACAGCTCACCACAATGTTGTGTGAGCTTGGAATGTAGTGCTCCCCAGAGAGTAAGTCTTACAAACATGGACCACTGAAGTGAGAACTCAGGGTACAATTGTAATATTGGCCAGTCACCCCTTCATGTCCCTCGTAATGACTTCGTATTTTATGACATGGAACTATTTAGCATGAACATGGTTATACCATTTATGTACTTGCTAAACTACCAGGAAACCTTTTTCTCCCACCAGGCTCAGCCACCTCTTAAAATTGGCTTCAGAAGTCACCTTTGCCCAAAGCCCCCAAACTCTTTTCATTCCACACCCATATATGGTGAATGCTCACCCTCTGAATATCTGAGAACCCTGCCAGGCCCCCAAGGTTGCTTGTCTTCAGAGTTTGTGACAGAGTGGCCACACTGCCATGTGCACAGAAACAAGTCAAAGAACGCAGTGCACAAGAGTGGCCCCAACTTTCCTTATGGTTTGGGCACTGTGAGAATGTCACAAGGCATGTCCTGGTTCAGTTTCCTCCCCTCCTGCAATAAAGCACAAAGCACGGGGTCTTGGTGTCATGCCCCGACATTCAATATCCATCGGGGCCTCGGGACTGGGCAATGCAGAGATTGAAGTTTGGATACTTTGTAGCTATACCTTCCAGCCAGTTGCTCCGGTTGCGAAAATCACAAAAGTAGGTGCACCGGAAAGGGGATGCAGGTGGGGGAGCATGTCCGGGAGGAATTAGAGGAAGAGGTCAGGGTGGAAGGGTGTTGAAGGGAGGCGCCTCGGGGTGTGTGTCGGTGGTGGTATCCAGAAAGCTAGGGAGGCTGTGGCGTTCAGCACCGCTTCTTTCTGTCTCTTCTGGTGTTTGGAATCCAGCATTTGGCAGCCTATTCCTGTTAAAAAGAACACTGCTCTGAAAAGGTACCTGGCAGCATGTTGCTGGCCCTGTTGTTTCAACCTGGGTGGGGGATTCAGAGAGAGCCCGTTTCTTCCTCAGATAAGGGTCTCATCAGGAAGGGACCCTGCTCTCAGCCAGCAGGGAGCAATAGTACTGGACAAAATGGGGGTCCTGAGATAGCTTTCCTCCTGGTTTCTGAGAGCCTTGAACTTTCTGTTGGGAGCTGGTGAGGCACACGATGAAGTCTCCAGTGTGTACTGAAACCAACCCCAGGGAGGTCCTTGCCAGCAGGCCCCGTATGCCGACTACAATCAAAGTCGTACTCAGCCTCACTTCTGCCCTGTGTTCCACAGAAATGCGATCTCTGTGAGTAGGTGGATGCCTGAAAATCGATCATCAACATGATGTACCAATGCCCTAAGGTGGGAGCTCTTAGAGCTTGTAATTCAGTGAGAAACTGTTGTGATTCCTCCCCCTAGAAAATTCCTCCTGGTGTAAAATGCTTCAGGACCCAGCAATTCATTAAGGAGATCTGTATCCCTGGCTCTGAGAAAGAAGAGACTGTCTGGTTAGGTGAATGCTGCGTTACCCAAGCCAGGGTCTTTGGAAAACCCAGGGGTCACAGCAAAGAACAAAAAGAAACTTGCTCATAGCTTGTATCAAAACCTGGAGCATAGAAAGGAAAAAAGAGATACAAGGACCAGGCCAGAGTGAACAGTTAAGGCTCGGAAAGGTGAGATTGGATGGTTGCACAGTGCCCTGCAAAATGGTCTGTGCACAGCTGTCTTCTTTAGGGACACAGCTATTTGGGTGAATTAGAAATAGGATGTGCAATACCACCCCAGTTTTGCTCAGGTGAGTTATCGTACCTTGAAGTTGATATAGCCTATGGCTCGCATATCACCTGCCTTTGGGAATTGGTCTGAAGACTCGTGGAGAGAAAACAGTACTGGCATTATTCTGAATATTCTGTATTGACAGAGCTACTCTTGCAGAATGCAGAATTTCCTGAGGCTGCTGAGGGAGCACGGGGACACCCACTCTCCCCCACAAGAGCTGGTGACCCTTGCAGGCAAGCTATGTCGGGACCTCCAACACAACCATGTTCAGGTGCTGTCTTTGGTGGAAGCCATTCTGGACAGCAAGCACCGTCAGCACCTGCTAGACAATGCAGATGTGGCGCTGGTGTGTGCCCAGGTCCTGGTCCATCGGGAGCAACAGTTCTCAGCTCTCCGGATTTTAGAGGTATGACAGAAAGAAGTGGGAACGCAGCGGCCTCCACCATCCCCAAGTTGTTGTAAGCTCAGGCAGGGTGTCCACTCTCACTTGACCAAGTTAGACCTTGGTAACCTTGACAACTACCACTTAGAAAGTCCTTACTGAGTGTTGGTGAGGAAATGTGCCTATGTAATGTATGAACGAGCACCTTTGACATAGCCACCTAGATACCTGACCTGAAGCTTTGATAAAATGGTGCATACCTGTAATCTCAGCACTCAGGAGGCCTAGGAAAGGCAACAGAGTTTTGCAGGCCAGCCTGTGTCAAAGTGATAACTCTAAATCATGCAGAAAAAAAAAGTGGAGTCAACAGAGAGGGAGCGCCTGGTTGGAACTGAGGTGACTACTGAGTAACATTTAGTGACATTGGTGATTAGAAACCCTAGAGTGTGACTAGAAACTCATCCAGGGAGTTATGATGCAGAACCAGGTCAGGAGAGCAAGGCATCCTGAAATAGCCGTGTTTGCTCTCTGTACTTGTGTGAGTCAATGGAGGACTGGGTTTACTTATTTCTTTGTAGGGTTGAAGGGCTTCAGATCAGAAAACAGGTCTCAGATCTGCTCGTTGCTGGTATGAAATATCTACCATGGCCTGCGAGGTAACTGGCTGAGTCAGGCTCCTCAAGGCCTAGTAGGGACTGGAGGGTTTGTATGTCTGGCTGACATTAGTGGTTTGTAGACCAGTGGATTCAAGGATAGATGATTGTCTTTCCCGTAGGCTGGGTTGGTGTGAATAGCAGATTCCATCACACTCCAGTGATGTAGGAGTCCACTCTGTATGCTGTGAATACGTTATATCACCATTGGTTAATAAAGAAGTGGCTTCAGCCTATGGCAGGGCAAAATAAAGTCATGTGGCAAATGCCTTTAAAGCCTGCACTTGGGAGGTAGAGGCAGGCGGATCCTATGAGTTCAAGGCCAGCCTGCAATACAAAGTGAGTTCCAGGACAGTCTCCAAAACTACAGAGAAACCCTGTCTCAAAAAAACAAAAAAGAAAGAGAGAGAGAGAGAGAGAGAGAGAGAGAGAGAGAGAGAGAGAGAGCGCCATTTAAGTGCTCTGTAACAGTATCTCCCTAAAAAAAACAGAGCTGATTGTGCTGCCAGAACTAACCAGGAAGCTGGCTTTTAAAGAAGCCACACAACTTTTGCTTCTACTGCTGAGTCAGGAAGCCTTTTCTTAAACTGTGCCTCTACTTGCTTCTAGTAAACAGAGTTCACCTGAGAAAATGCTGCTACCAAGAAGCTGTGCTTAACTCTGTTCTTTTGTGTCTAGAATTCCTTCCTAAGCTCTCTCAGGTTTTATGTGGATGTAGTTGGCCCATGTTGGTGCCATCTGTAAACAGAAACTGCTCTTTCATTTCCTGGCCACTCAGACCTGAATAATCACACATAAACTATATTAATTACAACACTTCTTGGCCTATTAGCTCAGGCTCCTTACTAAGTAACTCTTACATCTTAAATTAACCTATTTTTATTAATCTTTGTATTGGCCCAAGGCTGTGGCTTACTGGTAAGGATCTGGTATCTGTCTGACTCCACCTAATTTCTATATCTCTGTTTGGGTTTCTCACCTGGCTTTATTCTCACAAGTCATTGGCCAAGACAGCTTACTCATTAGCCAATAAAAGCAACACATATACAGAAGGACTTCCAATATCACTCCAGGGCTTAGAGTGGTGACTGGGTTTCGATTTCAGCAGGCTTTCCCCACAGGGGTGTCGGGTGCCAGGAGGCAGCAAGGAGCTGGTACAACTCTGGAATGACATTCACTACCACCTGACCATGAGGAAGCTGGGCATCACTAGGCTGAGCCCAGTGCAGAAGTTTCGCTGCAGGAAGAGGTACTTGCTGATTCTCCTCTGTTGTAACTCCCTGGGTCTTCCCAAGGCTGGATGTGTCATCCAAACCCCATCAGAGCTGAGGAAACAAGGTCAAGAAGTCACCTTAGCAGTATTTATATGGCTCGGTGGTTAAGAGCACTGCCTGCTCTTCTCAAAGGCCCTGACTTCAATTCCCAGCAACCACATGGTGACGCACAACCATCTGTAATGTGATCTAGTACCCTCTGGAGGAAGAGACCTGGTCAGTCATCCTCATAATCTTAGACCATGAAACCCAATATGGACCAGTTCAACAGGACCACCGTGTACGGGCTGCCCGTGCATTACCCGTGCCCATTACCAAGCTACCACTCGATCTGACACCTCAGGGGTGTGGTATTTGGAACTGGATAGCTGTGTGCCGCTTGACATCCTGACCATATCTACTTTCCATCATCATTAGACAAGAAGAAGCCTGTGGGTGGGGATAGTGAGTGCGGGGAGACTGGGTTTTGTTCAACTGTTTCTCAGGTCATCTAATCCCCACACCTAGGTGTCAGGCTAGACCCTGGGGACCGCAAGATGCGAAGGTTATCATCTTTACCATTTATGGAGATGAAATCTCGCATGAAAAAGTCAAGTATCATTTTTGAGGTTTCTCGTGGGAGATACAAGATCAGGGTTCCTGAGACACTGATACTGTGGAGCCGTTGTTCTTCATCTGGGGCCTCTCACTGGCAAAGGAGAGCTGTAGGCTTCCCTTGGCTGCTCTAAGTAATGCAGGCATCCTGAGTCGCAGGGTCCTTTCACTGCAGGAGGAAGTTTTTTTCTTTTTTTTTTTGTTTTTGATCAGAGAGTCTACCGAATATTGACAGTATTAGATAGATCTTTGGAAGCTCGGTAAAGAATCAGCATCGAGACAGTGGATTTGATAATATCACCCCAGAGATAGCCCAGCAGACTGCAGCTAGGTAGTCATAGTGTCTTGTCCCCATGCTTGTGAAGTGTTCCCAGAGTGCTAGGTGCTTGGAGGTTGTGGGTACAGCCCTGATTTTATACAGCCGGCCATGAGCTAAGTTCAAAAACATAAGAGAAGAAATAAAGTGGGTTTCTTCATGTGGAGAAGGGGCTACATTTGACCAGGTCATTGGTGCAGATCTGAGGAAACCTTGAATGGGAGTAGGAAAACCGCACAGGCGAATTTTCCAAGCAGGCAGATGTCAAGGTCAGAAGCCAGGGATGGTGAGGTATGGTGCCTGGTGTCATGGAGCGGAGAGAAGACATCTCAAGAGAGTTTGTTTCCAAGCCTTCAGAAATGCAGACCTGTCCTCAACCTGCGGCTGCAGGAAAAGGTGGTGGCTCTGTTTATCTTCCCCTTCCAAGGCCTCTTGGGAGACTGATAATGCACCTCAGGAGCATATACACAGCGACCAGAACATGGCTCTACTGTAACTATGCTAACTGACCCTGTGATGTCTTAGAGATGATCGGCTGTGGTTGAGAGCTGAGGTGTAGGAGGGAGGCACTCTGTATTGACTAGGAGCTGCCACGAGCAGGGCGCTTCATTCTGGGTGTGTTTGGACTGGAGGAGGCTCTGGAGTTCTATGTGGATTGTATTTGGAATGTGTTAGATGAGATGCTTTGGGGCTGTACATTAATGCCAAACATCTGGATGACATCTGTTCCACAGATACGTGATCTTTATACATGTCCTATATCATTTATGAAGAAATTTAGAGATACAGCAGGAAAAATCAGCCCAGACATAAGAGAAATGGCCACCGGTTCCTTCAGGAACACAGAATTCCCCGTGCAGTATAGAGAGGCGATGGAGAAACAATGACGGTCCTTCTGCGTGGTGTAGTTGCTTCCCAACACAGGGAATAAAATGGGAAGAGTGGCATGAAAAGGAAAACGGAGAACACAAGGGGCTGGGATGCTGAGTGCAAGAGATAAGTGAGAAAGGGGCCAAGGGGAAGCCAGGGTCAGCATATGGAAAGTTGGGCCAATATTCTTTCAGTTGTACTGTGAGGGAATAAGCCAGGAAGGGTGGCTAGAGGGATTCGTGTATAACTGGGAGAGATCCACAGCTCTAAGAGCTCTTGGGGAGGACCTGGAAGAAGAAATCCTGAAACAAGTTTATTAAACCTGCTGTAAACAGGACAGAAAAGGGAGTCAGTGTTCTTGTTGTGCTGGGCTCTGGGGTAGCCTGTGCTCACTCACTGGGTGGCTGCAGAGTATGGTGGACCTCCAGGTGGTAACCCAGAGAGTAGTAATCAGGCATTTTGAGGTGATTGGGAGTGGAGGGCAGAGGTGGGCTGGAGAGGGTTTTCCAGAACGTCTTCCCTTTGAAGTGCCAGGCCCTGAGAAGGGAGCAGATGGAGTTTATGTTAAAATTCCTCTTGGCCCTCCTCTTTCAGGAACCCACCACCCCCTACTCTCTGCCCTGAGGGCCCTAAGAACCGGAACTTCCCCCCAGAGATTCGCCACCAGCTGCAGAACTTTGCCACAGGTGTGGGCACTTACCCCAAGAAGGCCCAGTTGGTAAGGACAACAGCCCACCCCAGGTGGCTTCTCTTTATCCAATAACTGAGGCTCCTCACCTCTTCCTGAGTAACTAACTCCCCCCTCTTCTTCCCAGGCAGCTTTTCTTGCTTCTCTCCAATCTACTTCCCCTGCACCTTCCCCAGGGTAGCCCCTTGTCCATCTCCTAGGCAGATCCCTCTTCTTTTGGGTGGCTCTGCCTCCACTAGGTAATTCTTTAGCTATCTTCATCTCCTCCATAGCTCGATGGGATCCTCAGCCCCTCCCAGGGTGCTGGTGATCGCCACCTTTTCCTGACCTCTTTCTTTGCCAAGCTTGGTTTTCTCATGTGGGACTGTCTACTTCTAGCCCTGGCTAATTCCCAGATGCTCCCCAGCCCTCTGCTCTATGACCTCAAGCTAAAGGTCACAGTGGAGGAAGGAAGGGGCTCCTGGTTGGAAGTAATGAAGGCACTGATCCAGGAGTTGATAGCATCAATCTTGCTGTTTTCCTGCTTTAGGGTCTTGGGTGCTCAGAGCTTCAGTTGGCCTAGAATGGAGCGGGTGCAGGAGGTGGGGCACATGTGTATTGATCTCCACTTCCTCAGCACATGCTCAGTAGACAATCTCTTTTCCAGTGTACCAGTTCACTGATCACTGTCTCTGTCACCATTCCAGGGATCAGGCTGGGCTATGCTTCCTTAGTGGGTATGAGTTCTCCTAGCCACCTCTGTGCACACTTACAACTCACATCCTGTTTTGTGGTCAGGAGAAACTGGCTTTGGAGACTGGCTTGACCCACGAGCAAGTGTACAACTGGTTCGCCAATTATCGGCGACGGCAGAAGGCTTTTTCCCTGAACAGTCAAAGAGCCCAGGAGGCCACGTCAGAAGTCTCCAATGCAAAGGAGAGGGGGCCTGAACCACTCCAGCTCTCAGGAGACCGTCATGAGTCTGTGACTGTGTCTCAGTGGTCAGGTGAGCAGTCCAGGGGCTTCTTGGGGTCTGTAAGAGCTAGCCGGGTTGGGATTGACCATGGTGTGATGGTGTGCATCTGAAGGTGGGGCTTGAAATAGCCAGAAGGAAGGGACAATGAGTAGATTGGGGAAGTGAATCAGTCTCCAGGTTTGGAACTGTTGGTTTTCACTGAAATCAGAACAAGGATAAGAATATTTGTATGACTGAAGACCACAACTGTGGAGGTGCTCTCAGCTGGAAGGAGGCTAGGATCCAGTGTACCCTTCTCTCCCTCTCTGATCTGCTTTTAGTTGGATGTGAAAGAAGTGTGTCTCTACAGTCCCGAGAGACAACCCAAGAATCACATGGGCTGCAGTTCCTGACTTGGAACTTTTCTGGAGACAACACCACTTCACAGTCGCTGTCTTTCAGGTAGTACCATTCACTCAGGTCATGGGACATGTTTCCTCTTTGGTCCCTTCCTCCTTTGGATGGAGACCAGAATACAATTTATCCTTAACTCCAGACCAGCCTGTACTGGACCTTGACAACTGTGGATTGTTTTTGCATTCCTTTTTTGAGCATTTGGTCAGGTGTTTACTTCATGAGTGAGCAGCAGCTGGTACGTTTCTCACACCTGATCCTCTCCGTGCACTCTGCTCCCCTGTGACAAGGCACGAGCCTTCTGCATACAGCCCAGCAATGGTCATTCATCGGAGCAGTCCCTGGCTGGACACTGCCCAGGTGTATTACCACAGGAGCGCTCCCATGAAATGGTTTTGTGATAGGGCCTGCCATACAGGCTATGGCAGAGATGGAGGGGATGTTTAACAAAATCTTTGACCATGTCTGAGGCACTTTAGTGCTGATAGAATTTTCATTATTGCCAGCTTTTGCCTGATGTTCCTTTAATACTAACCATCATTTATTCACTTCATATGAGGGTCTTGCAAAACATTTTCTGGTTTTATGCAATAGATTTTTAAAATTTATTTCATCATACATATCAATCCAAGTTCCTACTCCCTCCCCTTCTCCTATCCCCTCCCATCCCACCCACATCCAGTCCTCAGAGAGGGTAAGACACGTGCAATAGACTTTTTTAAGTGTCTGTGACTGAGGCCATCAGAGCCCAGCTGAACCTTGGAAACCCTCAGGAATGAGCAGGGAGGATCATTAGTAAAGTATCACATTCTACAGCTTTGTGCGTTTCAGCCCACATCCCCCAAACCGGATGCAGTCACCTTCCAACTCCTCCCTCCCGCCCATGGTCTCTACTCATCAAGGCACATGGTTTGGTTATGTTCCCCAGGTCACTGTATGGATGTGAAGTGTACCAGGAGGGGCGAAGTTACCATCCAGTCAGCCTCACCTCCATATGCCCCTCCCCTGACCTCTGCTCGCTGGGTACTAGCAACAACATGTTTGATTCCTCTATGGTTGTCCCTGAGTCACGGATGATACCCCTTGCACCGTCATCTTCCAAGGAAGTTTTCCTCTACAATGGAGAACTGGACCATAGGAACCAGCTGGACTCTGGGATGAATCCTGAAGATGCCACCATGATGGCCATTGCTACTTTCAGTGATCCCAGCCATGCAGGTGGGTCTACCTTGCATAGACATGAGATTATGGACTCACCCCCACAACTACTCAAGTACTCAGGTCTTTAGGCTTTGTGTTGGGGTGGAGGTGTGGGTGTGGCCACCATCTGCTTGTATCTCTAATGTTCAGTGAAACCTAGAACTAATGGAGTAGGGAAGACTCTTCCCACAAAATATTCAGATTATTTATCATTTATGTCTATTGGGAAAAAATGCATGAATGAAAATCAAAACAGTTAGGAAAGGGTTGAAATGGGAGGCCGTAGTTGCATCCATATATCAAGCCCATTCCCCAAACTGTCCTCTTTTATCTGTGAGTGGCCGCCCCTTCCTGCTCTGCACATCATGCTAGCGTAGAAATGTCAGGGGTTTGATTTTAAGTTATCACTGTAGTTGTGCCTTTAAATTACACCTTTGTGGCTATAAGACAGTAGGTGTGTGACTCCATCCTTTAAGGCCCTGTTGACCTGCCTGTGTTTCTCAGCATTGAGGAAAATGCATCTTTTTTCCTTGAAGCTTCTAATTGCCTCGTTTATTAAAAAGTACATTTTTAAAACATACTTCCTCCAGCAAACGTCTATCACCTAAAGGTTCCATACTCCCCAAAAACAGCACCTCTAAAAGTGGACTAAGTTTTCATAGTTCTCATACAAAGAATCACAAGCTCTTTATTTTTTTAAAAAAAAATTTTTTTTCCTTTTTTTTTTCTTTTTATTTTACCTACCAACCATAGTTTCCCCTTCCTTTTCTCTTCCTGGCCCCTCCCTCCACCCCATCTCCCCCTGCCCCATCTGCTCCTCCTTCTGTGTCCATTCAAAAAGGGGCAGGTCTCCCATGGACATCAAAAAAGTATGGATAATCAAGTTGGGGCAGGACCAAGCTCCTTCCCCTGCGTCAAGCCTGGAAAAAGGCATCCACGCATGGACAGTAGGTTCCAAAAGGCCTGTTCATGTGCCAGGAGCAGATCCTGATCCCACTGCCAAGGGTCCCACAAAGACCAAACTACACAATTGTCATCCACATGCAGAGGCCCTAGGTCAGTCGCATGCAAGTTCCCTGGCTGTCAGTCCAGAGTCTATGAGCTCTCACTAGCTCAGGTCAGCAGTCTCTGTTGGGCCCCCTGTCATGATCTTGAGTGCCCTTGCTCCCACCTGCATATCTTCTCTTCATTTGGCATTGAATACACCAGGCTTTCTGGCTGGCCGGTGAGCCTCCAGAGAGTCTCTTAACCTCTACCAATCTGGTGGGCAGGCAGGAGACTAGAGCAAGGTTTGCCCCAGGCCCCTGGTTCTGGTCTGGGCTTTAGCTGTGCTAGTGCTAGCTGTACTACTGCATGGAGTCAAGGCGGTGTAGAGCCTTCCTTTCAGACTCCTCCCATCACAGTGTACCCACCCATAAATTACCTAAATCTACTATCGTGGCTTTTAAGAGTTAAATGTCTTTCAAAAAGTCAATCTGTGCCACAGATGGAAAGCAATCCAGTGGGCAGGGTGAGGTAGTAGCAACTCTTTTCTCAAGGAAATCTCAGTGAAACCTCAGATAAGAGGCAAAAAATGAAAACAGTAAAGCTGGCATATGGCCAAAGCCTGAAGTGCAAACTGCCTGTCATTGACAAGGAGGGGAATGTTTGGGTCAGATTGAAACTCTGGCACTGGACTGTGTGAAGCCCATAGTGGAAAGTCCAGCCTAGGATCAAAAGAAATGGACTAAAAACCCATTGCCATTGTTCTTGAGTTCTCAGTAGTCCTCATTGTCCACTATGTTCAGCGAGTCCTATTTTATCCCAGGCTTTTTCAGATCCAGGCCAGCTGGCCTTGGTGAGTTTCCGATAGAACATCCCCATTGTCTCAGTGTGTGGGTGCACCCCTCGCGGTCCTGAGTTCCTTGCTCGTGCTCTCTCTCTCTAAATGGGAGGCGGTGGCGGGGAAGAGTCAGTAATCTTTAATAAATAAATAAAAAATTAAAAAAAATGGACTTTCACATTGTCTTTGGAGGCCGCAGACGTGAAGGATCTGTTCATCCTTTTCTTGAGAGGGAGGCTGAGACTCTCAGGTGGTGAACTGATTTCTTACAGCCTAGGCAGCCTTTTGGAGACAGAGGCATGCCACACATGTGCTGTGTGCCTTCCTTTCACCTACAGTTTGTGTGATTTTACCTGCAGAATTCCCTGACCTGCGTGGTAGTTGTTCTCAGAGCTTATATCCAGAGAATGGTCCAGGACTGAGCAGTGGGCTGTCAGATTCCGCTGCTGGCTCTAGACTTCATCATCCCTACAGGTAAGCTAGAGGAGTTCTGGGTTTTCTTTGGGTCACAAGGCAAGATAGGGCAAAGTTTACTGGTTCATAACCTCAGGATCTGAAGATCAGGTCCTTTCCTTATGTGTTTCTGAAAACATTAACACTCCTTCCCTCAACCTAAGAATGCCCCTAACCCTGGTACATGCATGGCATCTGCACCCAGAACGACGTGCAAGCTTGTCCCTGGCCAGAGCTCTCACTGGGTTCCACAAGACTCTTTCTCATATTTGTTCCATAAACCAAGGCTGTTGGTTTCTGAGAGGTATCAACTTTTTTTACCTTTTAATTTTCCAAAATGTATTGAAAGGGCTTAAAAAGCCTAAAAGGTGCCAAAACATGGACTTTATTAAGATAAGGTGACCAGGGCTTCTGGGAGAATGGTAGTGGCTTGGGTGTCAGTAGAGGGTGTAGACCAATAGAGGGTCCTGTGGTAGAGAGATAATGTCTAACAACCCAAGGGACTCGAGACCAAGAAGGATAGTGTCAAGGATATTCCAGGGTTCTGTGATTGAGAGAAGATGCCCAAAGTTTTCATGAGACTGCATATAGGGGAGGGGTCTGAGATATTTTGGTTGAGATAAGATAACAAAAACCTCCAGGCTGAGAGATATTTCAAGAAGACTGGAAGTATTGTCTGGGATCTTCTGATGTTAAGGGAGTTGTTATCCTGTTTCAGTGGACACCTGTCCTGTATTCACTAGGGGTAGCCAAAGCCATGTTTCCAGGTTATGATGGAACCTTTCTCATCTCACCCATCAAGTTCTGACACTCCAGGGCTAAGGATGTTCTTCTGTTATAATGAATGACTCCATTCTCCTGTGTGACACTATTCCTCGGGGTTATAGGAATAAATGCATACTCATCCCAGAAAGGGAGCTAATGACAAATCAAAGTATCAATACCACCAAAGACCATCTTGGTGAAGGATGAGTTTAAGGAGTGAATCACAGAGCAGGGATGACCAAAGACAGCTGAAAGGCTAAAAGCCCACCCCAGTACATGTGTTGACTCACAAAAACTGGAGCCCTGATGTTCTCTTGAAGGCAATTTGAACAGGTTTAACATCCTCCCTGGGCATCTCAGCTCTTTAGAGAGTCTCCTTCAGGCATCTTGACTACCCAAGTCCCCACACTCAGCAGCTACTTGCTGCTTCTATAACACTGTGGAAGGGATCTTTGGGAATCTTAAAAACTTCAACTTTCCCAGACTTGAAGTTTGTTTAATTCCCGAGTCTAGTGCGTCTTCCTCCTTCCTAGAGGGAATGTTTCAACCAGGAGAAAATGACTCCATGACAATTCTGTAGAATTCCATGAAAATAAAATCAGATACTGTGTGCTCAGGGCTTTTGTTTGTTTGCTTGCTTGATGACAAAAAGGTCTCTTTGTGTAGAATTAGCTCTCCTCAGACTCCCAGCTATCCTCCTGCCTTACCCTGGAAGTGTTGTGGTTGTGGATGTTGGCTCCATGCCCAGCCTTTGATTTTCTTTTGCTTCGCTTTGCTCTGGTGTCAAGTGCTTAGTGTATCCACTGCGAGATTGTCCTGGCTGGGTTGGGTCATCATCAGCGTTGCCCTCTTCAGTTGTTCTCTATGGCCTACCATGTGAGCCTTCTCACAGTATGTTTTTCTCCTGGCTAACTCTTCAGAGTGCCTTGTCTGACTGAACAGCGTTCACAGTTCCATCCATCATGCAGAAATTATATAGTCAAAGTCATTCTGCAAGATGACTTTATATCATAGAACTATGTGGATCATGCTACCCACTATCCTATTGAGAAAGAACCTGTTCTGATGTGAGAAGCAGAGTTACATAGGATAAAGGTCTTCCCTTTCAGTTATCTAGAGGTGACACCAGCCTCATCTGCCATGTCAGCACCTGTGTCCACCATGGAGCTGAGCCAACCCTTGTTCTGTGGCCAGGTGAGGCCTTCTGGGGTTTCTGTGTTTCTTCTCAGAGGTAGTGCTCCTGGGTTGTAAATAAGGAACAGAAGTGACCTTTGAGTGGATGTTACTATATTCATAACTGGGTGGGATTGGGGACACAAATCCCTCTCTTAAGTCCAGAATGGGTCTGAAGAGGCTGGGAGGCAACCAAGTACATAGGTGGGAAGTCAGGGGGTTCAGCTCCTGAGAGCATGTGTATATAATGCTGAGTTCTGTGTATAATGCTGATCTGGTTTTGCAGGTGCAGTGGTATGACGGCCAGGCCTCCCTCCTGTAATGCTTTCTGGAGAGCCGCAATGCTCCTGAGTTTTCTGAATGCAGCTTGCTTCAAACTGCCTGTGAGGAGATGGGACACTGCGTGGAATAAGCAAGTGTGGATTGTGCACCAGTTCAACCCAAGTTAGAGAGGTTTGCCCCAAATAACAATCAGTATCCCCAGCACTAGCTAAGAGAGTCTGCTAGGAAGCCCCAAAAGATTGTCACTCCATACTGTTTGTGAAGTTTGGATGAGAATTCTCTGTACTGTAAACTGTTTTGAAAAATGTTTATGGCATCATAAGTGTAAGGTGGGATTATTTCATGTAGGCATAATAAATGGGAGTTGAGCCTGGTGACAAGTGCTGGGCAGGAAGGCTATCTAGATCCAAGATTTCCCACTGTTGACCCTTCCTATCCTCCTGTACACAGGGTCACTCTCTTCCACTCTTTAACTTTGTTCATGGGTCCTCTTTCTAGAGTTCTGAGCCATAAAGTTGTCTGGAGATGACCCAGATAGTGTGAAACAGGGTGGGGCTCTTTATCTGTAATCCTCCAGATTTCAGAAAGTAATGT